CGGCCCCGGGGGCGGGGCGGGGCCGAACGGGGTTTGGCGGTTGCGGCTGATGCGAGCGCGCAGCCGGCGGCGGCAGTACCGCGCTGGGGCTGACGCGGTCAACATCAGCGATGGAGGCGGTGGTCCACATCCTGCGCCGCTGGGATTTCCAAGCATGCAGCACCTGGGTAAAGGGAGTAGAAAAAAAAAAATGCATCAAGCCAACAGGGAGGGGGGTTTTGGCCCTCCCCCCTCAACAAACCCATTTCCAAACACAGAGACGGCTCATAAACAATCCTGAACAAACCCTCGTGGGCCAACAAAACTTGGGGAACTGCACCTAGAAAACATTAGTGTTTTCTATCGAGAGAGTATGAAACTGCTTTGGTCTCAAGTCCTCGTTCTGATCTTTTGCAGAGTCCTAGGAAAAACCCTGCCATGGAAAGAGCCGAAGCCTCTGGGAAGCAGGAGCCGGCCTCTCTACCACTGCGCTTCTCAACCTTTTCAAACCCAGGACACCCCTGGTGTGACCCCGCTCTGGCCCAGGCTTCTCCCTCCACCGCTTTCTCTCCTGATCTGCAGATCAGATTTGCTGTAGGTGAAAACCATACCAATGCAAAGGCTTGCATTGGCCTTGGACCAGTTTAAATCTCATCTGGCTGCTTAAAATATCACCTAAGTGGGATTAAAGTGGCACTGAGCCTTGTGAAGACGAAGAGCTCTAACTTGATGGTCAGAGAGACCTCTTAAGCCCACAGATTTTACTTCAGCTGCCATGCCACTAGGTTTAAGAAGTCCAGCAGGTTAGCTGAGCTTGAATCGTAGCCAAAAAGTGCAGTTGGATTATGGCAACGCAAGGGAGGCAAAACATCTTTTTGTGTCTCCCTGTTTTTTAAAATAACGTTAAATTCAGATAAGATTTTCCCACTGTTTTGAATGTTGGAAACTGACCGAATTAAGGAGGAAAGTGAGACTCCATTATCTCCATAGGCTTTGAATGTTCCTGAATACAAAACAGTGTTTCTGAGAAGAAACAAAAACATAAGTCAATCTGGACCAAGTTTAGCAGGGCAGCTTTCCCAAAGAGCAATGCTGGGATGATGTTACTTCCACGTGTGCCCAGAGGGAAGGAATGGGAAGTGTGTGCACCTACCTAGCAGTGCTGGCAAAGCCGATGCAAAATGAACAGCAACGGTGGGGCGTGTAAAAGTCAGCAAAGGAAAACACAGGGAACTTTTTCAGCACAGAAATCCAGCTGACCTCCATGGTCCCTGCCAACTGCACAGTCAGGGTTTGAGTACAATTCAACCTATACCTACAGACCTTTGTTTTCAAAAAGATAAACAACACTGCAAATTTATTTCTTACAAACATATAAATTATTTTATTTACAAAGCCATGTTACAAAAAAATAATAATAATAAAGCAAAAAAACCCCAAACAAACAAACAAACAAAAAAATACAATCGCTCACTAGAGAATATCTCCAGGCCTGGTGTTGAACCATGGCAGTATCAATCAGATACGGGTTTGTTCTGTTTTTCCTTTTTTTAAACTGTAAGCCATAGAATTTACTATTTACACCTACTTTAGACATTTACTCTGCTTACAATTATCACAAGCATGGAATGAACTCTATTTGATACTGCTAATACATAAAGGTGCAGGACAAAGAATGAAAATACTTAGTGTTACAAAATATGGATTGTAGAAAAGAAATTGACTGTACAAGTATGGCATTTTTTCTTTAGAATGATTGGACATGCTTTCTTCAAAAGTCTTCTGGAAAAGGTTCTAAAATCTGTAGTAGGAAAGCACAATAGAGCAGGTGCAAATTTGTTTCTGTGCAACAACAGTTATTTAATATACCCCATGACTGACCAGCTATGCAAAACCCACAGAGTTTTGTTAAAGTGCCATGGGTCAACAGCATAACAAAATATAAGGTGTAAATAGAAAAATTTCTTTTTTTCTTTTTTAAAACAAGAGTTCACTGAGAATCAGCAGTAATAGAATATGCTGTATAAACTATTCTCTACAAAGGTTGATCAGCATTATTTACAATCGTTACATTGATACAAAAGAAGGCATACAAGTTATCCAAGTCGCTTTTTATGGCTGACGGGCCTATGCATTGCGTATGTGTAACAACCAAAGCTTCTGAGCCTCTATTGCTGGAAACGAATCACAAGATCTTCAGGCAAATGGGGGAGAAAAAGAACTGCTGAGTGAATGCTACACTAAGAATGCATTATAGGCTGGTCCAGTTTATATCCATTTTTTTAATGTTTATTTCCATTTCACTTTTCAGGCTGATTTTTTAATACATAGAAAATTAAATAATGATTCTGTATGAAGGAAGAAATACCATGGGGTTTTCACTTGATGCTTAGCTTTCCCGAAATGCTGTCAGGTCTAAGCCAGTTCAAAAATACATATAAAGCAGCATTCAAAGGACAGTCTCCATATTCCAGCTTTCCAATTAAAAGATGCATGTTAAGAGCTAAAACTTCTTAAAACTACTGAATTGCTCACTCCTTCAGTCATTAACTAGCATTATTTCTCAGAAGCAGCCACTGAATCTCACCACCACTTGTTTTCCCTCCAAAGGTGAAGTGACAGTTGATTAATTAGAGGGTGACTTTGTTACTGAGATTTTTTAAATCCTGCAGTTTTACAATTCAAAATAAATTAAAAAAAAATCAACATAGTACTGCTCCTAAAACTAAACAAGACAAAAATTGTGCAAAAATAACAAAGATATGTACACATTTTTTCAGTCTGAAGAAATGTACAATAAAAACATAATTCAAAGAACATCTTAAAAATATAAACATTGCTTCAACTTTCCTAAGTTTCATACTGTTTCTGAAACTATTCCGGTCAGTTAGCTCCGAAATATAGCAAAACATAAATTATTACAAAATTAACACTATAAAAATTTACTTTAAGAATATCTTCTAAACTTTTTTCAAAGGGTCTAGCCTTGTTTATAATTGCTTAAACATTTTATAAGTTTTAAAATCTGCCTTAAGCCTTCTTTTTTTAAAAAAGAAAGTAGTAATAATCTCTCTATTTGCAGTCTCTCTCCTTTCCCCAAGATGTAAATAAACCAGCATAAGTGCACTTTTAACACTGTAGAAATAAAAATTAACTCCTCTGAACTAATGTTCCAGTACCTAGTATCAGCTTCCCGATTATAAAATCTACATTTTATAAAAAAAAATATTCAGTAATCCTATAAGAAAATACTGTCAATGCAATTCTACTGATGCAAACCAGTCTGCTTAACTCTTGTCCTTGCATCCAGATCTTTTAATGAAGCAAACCATTAGTTTGATCTTAAGGGTCTAGACTCCTGTCAATTTTCATGTTGAGTTCCTACTAACAATAATGGGAGTTAGGTGCATAAATCATCTATGCCTTGACTGGAGTACAGCTTCCTTAAGACGTTTATCCTCTGAATGCTGAGCACTTGGATCTCCCTCTGAAGTCAGCTGGAGCTGAGGTGTTAAGCACCCACCAGGATTATTCTCTACAGTTACAATGCCCCAATTGTTACACACTGCTGAGAAATGCACTCAGTAATATTTCTTATCCATAGGACAAGCATAAATACAGGGATTACTGTAGTTTTTAGGTAATGACAAGCAGTTTGGGGAACAACTGAAAATAAATTCAAACCATGAATTTGATTATTCTGGAATGTCCACTGTCAGTGCTGTAGGAAACAAAGGGAGCAATGCAATACTAACAGCTTGAAAAGTCGTGAAACAGAACAAAGCAGAATGCACAGATCAGTGGCAAATACTAAGTGAGAAACTAAACAAAGCACTCGTACAGTTTTTTGTAAATTTAAAATTTTCTTTAAAACCACAAATTGATAAAAGGTTAAATCCACCTGCAGGACAGAAAATAAAAACCCTGTGGAGTAGGGCTGCTGAGAGCTAGAGATTATCAGCTGGTTCCATTTCATTCTTATGGAAGAGTCCTTATCCTGCCAGTCCGGTTTGACGTCTTCTAAAAAAAGAAATCAGAGCCAGTTTCAAAACCAAGACATTACATTTTTCAGTATATGCATTTAATAGTCAACACTGTGACTACTTTCATAATGCAACTAATGCTGCAAGGAATAATAAGAAACAAACCCTCTTATTAGGTCTTGTAATAACTGAAGTTTAATCCCTTTTGCAAAATGTAGGTCCCTGGCAGACATTACGTTTACTGTACAACTCATCGGTTGATAGTCTGATAAGTTACATGCCATGCCACATGTTCACCCAAAATGCCAAACCAGCTACAAAGATGTTCCTCATTTAATGCGGAACATCTTTGTGGCTCATTTCTCTGGTTCTTTAATTTGAACATGTGGCATGTTAAGGCTTTCCCTGCAGCCTGGTTGCCCCACAACCCTTTTCCACTACAGTACTAGGTGTGAAACTTCCTCTACTTGGCTCTCCCCACTTTGCAAGTTGAAAGCCACATGCTTGGCAGCTGGTTGCTGGGATCGTGCAGCTTTCAATTTGCTGAGCAGGGGGAACCAATCAACTTGCCTTGCCTGATAGCTGCAAACCCACACGCCCTACAATTCTGCACACTGGGGATGTGCAAAGCAGGCAGTATTCGATTTGGATTCAGCCTGGTTCAGGGAACAGTGATTCAAAACGCTGATTCGGATCGCTGTCCTGGTCTGAGTCAGCCAAATCT